ACGTTCGCGAGATGCAAACGGAGGGGCGAAGCAACAACCCCAGCGGCAGGGGAGGAGGAGGAGGAGGAGGAGGAGGAGGAGGAGCCACAGTCGCTTAATGACGAGGAGGAGGAGGACGAGGAGGAGGAGGCGGCGGAGGAAGAAGAGGGGGCGGCGATGGGGGGGCGCTCCTCCGCCAACCGCGGCTTCCAAGAGGAGAGAGGGAGGAGAGGGACAGAGCACGGAAAACGAGGAGGACAAGGAGGAGGACGAGGACGAGGAGGAGAAGGAGGAGGAGGAGAAGGCGGAGTAGAAGGAAGAGGAGGAGGGCAAGGAAGAAGAGGGGGACCAGGACGAGGAGGAAGAGGAGGAGGAACGAGAGGAGGACGAGGACGAGGAGGAGGATGCGGAGGAGAACGAGGAGGAAGAGGAGAAGGAGGAGGAGGAAGGGGAGGAGGAGAGAACAAGGAGGAAAAGGAGGATGAGGATAAAGATGATGAGGAAGAGAAGGAGAAGGAGGAGAGGGACGAGGAGAGGAGGAACAGGGGGAGGACGAGGAGGAGGAGGAGGAGGACGAGGAGGAGGAGGAGGAGAATGAGGAGGACGAGGAGGAGGACGACGAGGAGGAGGGTCGCTCCTCCACCGACCGCGGCTTCCAAGCGGTGCCGTCGCCCATCGCCGCGGCGGCCGCGCGGGGCCCGCGGGCGGACCGCCCGCCGCCGTGCGCCCCTCCGCGGCGCGCCCGCCGCCCGACATGAAAGGCCCCGCCTTTCCGGGCGCGCGCGACTGAGCGTCGACTGGCGTCGTCTGGCGTCGATCATGCTGGGCCAATGATCCTCCTCCTCCTCCTCCTCCTCCACCTCCGCAGGACGGGGAGGGGAGATAGAGAGATCCTCCCTCCTCCTCCCTCCTCCTCCCTCCTCCTCCTCCTCCTCCTCCTCCTCCTCCTCCTCCTCCTCCTCCTCCTCTCTCCTCCTCCTCCTCCTCCTCTCCTCCTCCTCCTCCTCCTCTCCTCCTCCTCCTCCTCTCCTCCTCCTCCTCCTCCTCCTCCTCCCTCCTCCTCCTCTCCTCCTCTCCCTCCGCCTCCTCCTCCTCCTCCTCCTCCTCTCCTCACTCCTCCTCCTCCTCTCCTCCTCCTCCTCTCCTCTCCTCCTCCTCCTCTCGTCCTCCTCCTCCTCCTCCCTCCTCCTCCTCCTCCTTCCTCCTCCTCCTCCTCCTCCTCCTCCTCCTCCTCCTCCTCCTCCTCCTCCTCCTCCTCCTCCTCCTCCTCCTCTCCTCCCCTCCTCCTCCTCCTCCTCCTCCTCCTCCTCCTCCTCTCCTCCTCCTCCTCCTCCTCCTCCTCCTCCTCCTCCTCCTCCTCCTCCTCCTCCTCCTCCTCCTCCTCCTCCTCCTCCTTCCTCCAGCTCGTCGATCATGATGGGCCATTTTTCCAACCACCTACCACAGCAGGACGGGGGAGAAGGGAGCATGGGAGATACTCCTCCTCCTCCTCCTCCTCCTCCTCCCCCTCCTCCTCCTCCTCCTCCGTCCTCTCCTCCTCCTCCTCCTCCTCCTCCTCCTCCTCCTCCTCCCCCTCCTCCTGCCTCGCCTACCTAATGGTAGTGGTGGTGGAAGACCGGGCCATCAGATCAGCGTCGACCCGCAAGAGCCTTCAAGATGGCATGGGAGGCCCCCATGAGTTGCCGCCGAACTGGGGAGACCCAAAGGCACCGAGCGTCGATTTATAGCGTCGACCAATGTCGATTAGCGTTTCTTCGCAAGAGTCGACGAGATGGTGTTGGAGGCCCCCATGACTTGCCACCGAACGCTCCTCCCGCACCGCTCACCCGCGGCCCCGCCCTGCCTCGGGCACCCCGCGGCCCCGGGGGCCTGAGCAGGGATCGACCGTCCCGGCCTTCCTGTAGGCCTACCACGACATGTTCTCAAAGCCCGAAAATGCTCTGAGAACCAAACCTCGGGGGCGGCAAAGAGGGGGGTGTCCAAGAGGGGGGGGTGCAAATCATGACCGGCGGCATGTGCGCGGCCCAGCGGGGGGGCCAGGGACGTAATGAAATAAGAAGAGGCGCCGTGAAATCTTAAGAAATATCGTGGCCCCCGCCATGAGATCCGCCCCCCCCTTGTCATCACCCCCCTCTTTCGTCTGTCCCCGAAAGCCAAATGTTCTTAGAACTTCAACCCGATGTGTGAGAGCAAGACAGCCCCAGCAAGGTATGCCCTAAGCACGCTTCGTCCGCGGCGTGCCCCGCCGCTGCGCGGCGAGGCCCGCCGTTCAGGCCCTCCTGTAGGCCTGCCGCGACATGTGCCGTCGCTCGGACGTCCATTTCCCGTGCACTTGTCGGCTTCGTGCGTGTTTTTTTCGCTCGGTGGTCCCGGATGTTCCTCAAGGGTCCTCGCCGAGAAAAAAATACACACGTCCGAGCGATGCCAGGGTTCTGAGAGCCCGCAAATGTTCCGAGCACCAAGCCACATGTTCTTAGAACTTCAACCCGATGTGCGAGAGCAAGACAGCCCGAGCACGGTATGCCCTAAGAACACTTCGTCCGCGGCGCGCCTCGCCGCGCGCGGCGAGGCCCGCCGCGGCGGCTCGGCGGTGCGGGCGCGCAGCGGCGGCCTCGGGCCCACCATCTTCGAGTAGGGCTAGGTCGGGCGTGTCCCCCTACAGGCGGCTTCTGCACGACAAATAAGACATACACCAAAACAATACTGCCCAAAATGCTCAACAATTGTTGATTGGTCTTTGTTTTTCTTTGGTTTGTTTCTTTCTAATATAAAAAACAACATCCCCAAGTCATTCTTGGACTATGTTTGAATTTTCCTCCTGTAGAGGGACGGGCCCGACGTCATGCTGAGAGGGCCCGCTGTGATCGGCGCGGGGGTCCGAGGTCGAGGCTCCAGCTCTTCGAGAGCGGTCGCCCGGTCTCAGCGGCCTTCCGGCCTCGGGGTGCGCTCCAGCGGATGCGCCCTGCCCAGTCCCGAAGGTGCCTGGATCGTCCCGACTGGCCACTGATGGCCTCAGGGGAGAAGGGGGCGATCGGTGGATTCCAAGATATAGGTAGATACGGCCTAGGTTTTGTCTGGGCAGGGGAGGGGGGCTATCAGTAGATATGGCCTAGGTATGTCTGGCCGATCCCAGCTTATAAGTGGGCTACAGCTGCCCCAAATGACTTAGGGCCGGGCGAACGATCTGGGCAAAGTGGGCTCCGCACACTCAGCGGATTTATCTAACCCCCCAGAGCCACTTGGAGCATATGCAGCCCACTGATAAGCTAGGCTCGGCCATGTATAGCCCGACTTGGCACTGACATAGCTCCCTATCCCCTGGGCCACCCCTGTGCCGATCCCAGCAGACCCCCATCGGGCCATGGCAAGAATCACGACAACCGATTTTGGGACGCTGTCGGCCGCCTGACAGCCCTTTCTGGCCCCGGGGCCGCCAACTGAACGACTCAGGGTGAAAAACGGGTCCTGAGGAAATGATGTGTGTTCCAGTCCGGGCGTCTCTCCTAGATGTTGGCCCTGGGGCCAATCCTTGAGGCCCTGAGACAGAACAAAATGGATCCAGGCTGGAAAGCTACCCCCAGAAAAGGGCTCGGGACCTTCGGGGCAGGCGGACTGAGAAGCCTCATCGTTGGATGTCTGGAAGGTGGGGGGGAGGTCCTCCTTTGCTCATCGTTACTTGCTCCTTCTGGTCCTTCCTCCTCCTCCTCCTCCTCCTCCTCCTCCTCCTCTCGCCCCTCTGCACTACTGTTCCCCCTCGTCCGTGTCTTCCTCCTCCTCTGTTGGAATCCGCCCCCTCCTCCCGCCCCCCCCTCCCCCTCTGTTCATGCTCTCCTCCTCCTCTTCCCCCCGTTTCTCCTCCCCCTCCTCCTCCTCCTGCTCCACTTTCATCTCCCCCCCCCCCCGCCGCCTCCTCCTCCTCCTCCTCCTCCTCCTCCTTCTCCTCCTCCTGCTCGAGGTCGCCCCCCATGGCGACACTGTCTCGGGAGCACGACCGCGATCCGCGATCCCTGATCCTGCGTGCAGCACACCGCCGCCTGCGTACACCACAACAGCCGCGTGCACCGCAGCACCACGTCGCCTTTGTACAACGCAGTGCCTGTGTAACTGCAGCAGCCGTGTGCGCAACAGCGCATGCATACACCTCGTTGCCTGCCTGCGTGAATCCCGAGCGCCTGAGTACACCACAGCGCCTGTGTACACCACAACAACCATGTGTACCGCAGCGCCTACGCACGCAACAATGCCTCCGTGCACCACACAACGCGTGTGTACACCAGAGCGCCAAGCGTGCCAACGCACACATTAGAAGCTTGCGAGGCCTCCTTGCGGGGCTCGCCACAGACCACGGACGCCTTGAGGACTCGTCATGAATCTCCTCCTCTTCCACCTGTTCTTCCTCTTCCCTGTCCTCTGCCCCCCTCTTTCAACGGTCCTGGCGACATTCGTTGAGGGAAGGGAATGCGGAGCGGAGGGAGGAACAGCAGGAGGAGCAAGAGGAGCAGCAACAGAAGGAACAGCAGGAGGAACATCAGGAATAATGGCAGGAACGCGCATGTGAGCACCGACACATGCCTTCTCGGCACCACGCCATGCCTGTGAGCTCGCCGCCGCAACGGGTGGGGAGCCTGCCAGCGCCGCAACACGCTTATGAGCACCAAAGCATGTCCTTCAGCACCACGCCACGCCTGCGAGCACAGTCCGCCCCCTGACATGCAGGGGGGGAAGGGCGGGGGGGAAGGTCCAGGCCTCCCCGCCCGGCGCGGTCGTTGGCGTCACCCGGCGGTGGAGGAGCTCGGCCTGGGCAGCGAGCGTGACGCCGGGGAGGAGCACAGACGCTCACCAACAGGCGTGAACCCAGAACGTCTAGGGCCGATTCCTTACTACGAAGATGAAGACCCCGCGTGCAATCACCAGTCGGGGGCAAGAACTGGACAGGGCGGATCGGCTGGCCAGGTGTGTGATGAGAGTCGATGGGCCGACGGCGACGATCCATTTCGGCAAGCCTTCGAGAGCTCTCCAAGTCAGAGTCTGACAGGGCATGCGGCGTGCACGCAAGCCCTGCGGTTGGCATGAATTGTAAGCCGTGGAAAATTACCGTGCGATGGTTAAACCTAGCTTACCTTTGCTTGGCTCTCAACCACCTTGGCCTTCCTTTCTCCCTCCGAGTTTCACTGAGGATCAAGCTCATCCTCACTTTACCCCCTCGTGCTTCCTTTCGTGCTGCTGCAGTCGCCCCTCCTCAAGCTTCACCTGCATCTGCACCTCCCTACCTCCTCAAACCCTATCCCTCCTCCACAGCCATCCTCCTCCTGCCCACCTTGCCACACCTCCTCATATTTCGCTCCGACCCCCTCCCCACATCCTCCTCTGCAGCTCCTTCTCGTCAGCTCGGGATCCAACACTCCCACTTCTCCGCGCGACGCTTCCCCTTCCCAGCGATGTCCTCCCCCTACCTTCCCACATTTCCGCCGTATGGTGTTCTGCTTCCCTCTGCAGTCCACGTCGTCTTCGGCCCGTCTCCTCCTCCTCCCCCCGCCCCCTACACGCTCACACTACTTCGGGCGCGCGCTCCTCCTCCTGCACTTCCTCCTGCTTCTTCTCCTCCTCCTCCTCCTGAGGTGTTCCTCCTCCTCCTCCTCCTGCTCCTCCTCCTGCTCCTCCTCCTCCTCCTCCTCCTCTTCCTCCCAACTGCACGCTCACCCTCACTCGGGCGCACGCCAACATGGATAGGCACGCGGGCGCCAGACCCGCAGCTGGGGGAAGAGCGCCTCCCAAAGCACGAGGCCAACGCCGCCTCGTTCGGCGACGGAGCGGGCCCGTTCCGCACACGGAGACGGCACGCGTCGCTCACCCACGCGCCTCACACGCGTGTTCCCGCTTCCTCGACGCATCGTCCTCCTCCCACATCCCTGCTCCTCGTCGTCCTCCTCCTCCTTCCGCCGTCCTCCTCCTCTTCCTCCTCCTCCTCCTCCTCCTCCTCCTCCTTCGCCCGACGTACCTCGCCCATCTTCCTGCGACATCCGCCTGATCCACCGCCGCCCCAAGTTCCTCCTCTTCCCCAGCCCCCGGACGCAAGGGCTCCTCACACCGAGGACCCCTGGAAATATCAATCCCTTCCCCAAGACAGGCGTTTCATCCTGAGCCGTTGTTTAATGGCCCTGGAGCCCCGCTAGGGCCACCAGAAGCAGAGAGCAGTCGACTTCCGTCGAGACGCTTGGGCTCACGACGCGAGCTGATGGGCTCCTCCTCCTCCTCCTCCTCCTCCTCCTCCTCCTCCTCCTCCTCCTCCTCTCTCCTCCTCCTCCTCCTCCTCCTCCTCCTCCTCCTCCTCCTCCTCCTCCGCCTCGTCCGCACTCGTCCTCCTCCTCCTCCTCCTTCTGTTCCTGCTCCTCCTTATGAGGGAAAACCCCAAGAAGTACCCGTATCGCTACTATCCAGACGCCTCCCTGCGCGCGTTCTGACCAGCAGTTCGAGGCGAAGCCCGCCGCGTCGACGAGGGCCTACCAGCAGGCCCACTGAATAGGCCCAACCGAAGCAGGGACAGCGGCCTCGGTACGTCGTCCTCTCCCAGCTTCCGCATTTCCTCATGCTCGTCGCCCCCCTGCCCCTGAGGCAGGCGCCGCCACCTTTCCGAGGGACGCGCGCGTTGCTGCGCCAAAGACACATTCTCGCTCTCCTCGTTGTCGTCCTCCTCCTCATCCTCCTCCTCCTCCTTCTCGTGCTCCTCCTCCTCCTCCTCCTCCTCCGCCTCCTCCTACACTACACTACAGTACACTACACTACGCTACGCTACACTACACTACACTACACTACAGTACAGTACACTACACTACACTACACTACACTACACTACACTACACTACACTACACTGCACTGGCTATGTTGTGATATTTGCGAGCGGGCGGCAACGCACGAGTTGAAGTGACTCCCGGTCCTGTAAACCCTGCGCCCTCAGCTTTGGATGTCCGATGTGGGTACGGAGCACATGGGCATCATGCCCAGCCATACGTGCTGTTCAAAGCCAACCGCGGCCGCTGCTGGACCGAGGCTGGAGGGCACCACGGGACGGGCCAAGAGAATCCCGCGGCGCCCACGTGACGGTCGTGGGGAGGGTCCCGAGACGGCCCGGGAACGCTCGAACACGCCCCAAGTGGCCTCAGGACACTGCCCCCCCCCCCCCCCCCAAGACGGCCCAAGAAAGCCCCGAGACGGCCAGAGAGGCCCCGAGGCCGCCACCGAGACCCACGAGGGCCCAGAGAGGGGACTGAGGGGAGAATGAGGAGGAGGAGGAGGAGGAGGAGGAAGAGAAGGAGGAGGAGGAGGAAGAGGGGGAGGAGGAGGAGGATCATTTTTGGGGTTACCACAGGGGTCCTAGGAAGCTCTGGCGAGGGAGAAGAAAGGGGAAAGGAGGGAGAAAATGAAGCTCTTCTCCACCTCCTCGATCTCCTTCTCCTCCTCCTCCTCCTCCACCTCCTCCTCCTCCTCCTCCCCCCTCCTTCCCTTCCTCTTCCTCCCCGTTCACATCCGTCTTCTATTCCAGATACTGGTCAAACTGCTCCTATCTTAGCCTGCTCGCCGTCTTCCTCCTCCTCCTCCTCATCATCGGCATCAACGTCATCATCCTCATCATCATCATCAGCAGCAGCAACAACAGCAGCATCATCACCAGCAGCATCATCACCAGCAGCATCATCATTATCATCATCACAACCACAACCACCACCACCATCCTTTTCATCATCAGTACCATCATCACCTGCATCATCATCATCATGACCATCATCGTCATGATCAACATCAGCATCAGAAGCATCAGCACCATCCTCATCGTCATCATTATCGACATCACCATCATCGTCAGTACCTTCATGGCCATCATCGTCATCATCAGCATCAGCATCGTCATCATCAGTTCCAGCATCAGTCTCATCATAATCATCAGCATGATCATCGTACTCACCAGCATCATCATCATCATCATCATCATCATCATCACCATCATATACATCATCATCATCATCAGCATCATCATCATCATCATCACCATCACCATCATCATCATCATCATCAGCAGCATCATCATCATAAGCAGCATCATTATCACCAGCAGCGTCATCGTCACCATATTCATCATCATCAAGATCATCAGCATCATCATCACCACCACCACCATCATCATCATCATCATCATCATCATACCGTCATCATCATCATCAGCATCAGCATCATCATCATCATCATCATCATCATAATCATCATCATGATCATCATCTTCATCGTCGTCGTCAGATGCATCTTCATCGTAATCGTCATCGTCACCGTCATCGTTATCGTCATCCTTCTCCTCCCCCCCCTCCTCCTGCTTCTCCTCCTCCTCCTCTTCCACCTCTTCTTCCTTCTCCTTCTGCTTCTCCTTCTTCGTCTCCCTCCTCTTTGTCGTTTTTCTCCCCCTCCCCCTCCCCCTCCTCCTCCTCCTCGTCCTCTTCGTTGTCCTCCACCTCCCACTCCAACCCTCCTCCTCCCCTTCTCCCCCCTCCTCCTCCTCCTCCTCCTCCTCCACCTCCCTCCTCCTCCTCCTCCTCCCCTCCTCCTCCTCCTCCTCCTCCTCCTCCCCTCCTCCTCCTCCTCCTCTTCCTCCTCCTCCTCCTCCTCCTCCTCCTCCTCCTCCTCCTCCTCCTCCTCCTCCTCCTCCTCCTCCTCCTCCTCCTCCCTCCTCCCCCCTCTCTGGAGCCTGGGGGCCCCCAGAACGGGCACCCGCCCTCTCAGCAGCCCGGGAGGGCCCCCCCTGGACGCAGCGCGCGAGCGGTCACACCCCACCAGCTCCGGCGCCGAGGCACGCCCTAGCCCGCGAAGGACTCCGCCGGGGGACACGTTTCCTGGGCAACGCCCCCCGCGTCGAGCGGCGTCGTTGGCGTCGTCGTCGGCCATCCCTCGTCGGGACTGCTCCTCCTCCTCCTCCTTCTCCTCCTCCTCCTCCTGCCCCTGCTCGTTTCTCCCTCCTCCTCTTCCTCTGTCCTCCTCCCTCCCTCTACGTACCCTCCTCCCCCCTCCACCCCTTCCCCTTATGAATGACTCCTCTCTGTCGCACCCCCACACGTGTCGGCTGGGCGGGCCAGGCGTTTCGCCTGAGACTCCTCACCGACTCTGATCCTGAAGCTCGAGATTTCACATGTAATGGGCGGGTCGTTTTCAAAATGTGGAGGGCTCTCGCCTCAGCGCTGCGCACATTTGTTGTGAAAGTTCGCAACAGCCTCAAGGTTGAAGGATAGGTGGCTTTGACCATGTAGCTCTCGCCGACAGGCCACGCACGTTCGTCGTACAAGTTTGCTACAGCTTCAAAAATGGATACCGGGTCGTTTTCACAATGTGGCTCTCGCTTTGGCGCCGCGCAAATTCGTTTTCAATATTTGCGACAATTTAAAGGGTAGGTACAGTTGAAGTCCAGGGAATGGTGCTCTGACAAGGTTGAGGATTGTCAAGACGTAACAGTTGTTGGTTCGCGCTGGTGGGATCGCAGGAATGGATTCTGGCGCGCTTGAAGATTGTCAAAACGCAGCAGTACGTTAGTCTGAGGCGCTGAAGTCCCAAGAACGGCAGTTTAGCACAATTAAGCATGTTCATGTGGTTTTATAATAGGCCACTCGCCGCAATGAAGATACATTCGATGGTTTCTTGCAACATCGTTGATGGAACTTGGGCTTACACTGGTGCTCCTCCTCCTCCTCATCCCCCTCTGTTCTCTTCCTCCATTTCCTCCTCCTCCTCCACCTTTTCTTCCTATTCCCTGCTCTTTCCTCTCCTGCTGCTCATCCCTCCTCCTCCTCCTCCTCCTCCTCCTCCTCTTCTCCTCATTATCATCATCAGCATCATCCTCTCTCTTCCTCCTCCCCCCCGTTCTTTTGCTCCCGCCCCACATTATCATCGCCGTCGTCGTGGTCGTGGTCGTCGTCGTGTACGTCGTCCACAATGCTCGAGACTCGTCTCAGGACCGAACGTGGAACGAGGCTTCCCCCTTCGCCGAGATCCGGGCGTGGCACCCTTGTTCACAGCAGGCGCTGACTCGCCCAGCCTCGGCACCCGAGACCCACACCGATCGATCCTGCTTGCATGAAGGGGCCCCAGGACACACAAATAAATACACACAAATAGAAAGATGCCCCATATTTTCCCATATTTTCTGGGTTTTTGTCTTCCCCCCCACTTCCCATATCCCATAATTTCCTGGGACTCGACGATTACTTGTGTCTGTGTGTTTTTTCCCCGCCTGATTGCAAAACGACAAAACGAGGCAACTCGATGGAGTCAGGGGCCCTGGTCGTATTTTTGCTTCGTTTCGCGGTCTCGCGAAGCAGGTCGGAAGCCGGGGCAAAGCTAGGGCGGACCGCGCCGAAGCGAAGGAAAAAACAGTACGGAGCAACGCCCGGCTCAGAAGCAGGCTCAGCGTCCAATAAGTTGTAAAAACTGGCGGACCGGCACGGTGACCACCCGGTAGGAAGCGGATGCGAAGCGGAGCAGGACGACCCAGGATGCCCCAGGATGCCGTCCCAGGATGCCGCCCCAGGAAGCGGATACGAAGCGGAGCAGACGACCCAGGGAAGGTGACGCCCCAGGATGCCGTCGAAGGGGTGTCCGCTGTCCGTGTTGTTCGCGAAGTTGAAAGTCCTGTTTCCCCTGCTATGTCCACCTGAACAAATCTAGTCCCCAAGAAGTCCATAAGCGTCCCAGCCCGCGGCTGTGGCTGGCGCCCGAGCGGCAGCACGATATCCACTCAGTCGGCGTTTTCTCATTCGGCTTTTCGACAGTGGGCGGAAAGGGGGGGAGGGGGGGCGTCTGGCTCAGGACCTATGCTTAGTGCGTCCTATGGGGGAAGGACCCCACCTGCTCGAGACAGGCGCCAAAAACAGCCAAGATCTACTCCATGGGGGGCGGAAGGGGGGTGCGAGGGCCTGCGCCGATCGGCAAAACAAAAACACACACACACACAAAAAAAAAAACAAGGATGTGGCCGGAACTGAGGCGAGAGCACCACGCCGTACTGACAGAAGCTCAGAGGTCACGGGCTCAATGGAGTCCTCTGGCGGCTAGCCCAGGGGGACAGATGCGAAACGCATGCCCCTCTCGCCTCCCCCCCAGGGGCTCGCAGCCGAATCGTGGTCGTCGTCTCCCGCGCAGACAGCAGGGCGGCGACACGGTGTAGGCGTTCCTGGGCTGCACAGGGCGAAGCGGCTAACACCATCTTTTTTGCGTCGGCGGCCGGGCAGAGTGGCTGCGCTGGCGAGTGAAGCAAAGCGGGGTGCGCCAGGCGAAGCCAGCCACCACGCGGAGGGGGGAGGAGAGGGCGAGAGGCGCCCGCTCAGGAGGGGGACCCGGAGGAGCCGGGCCTGCTCAGAGCAGCCCAGGGGTGTGGCGGGGCCCGCGCCGGGGAGCCAGCGGCGGCGGCGGCCGGGGGGCGGGCGGCGGCAGGGCTGATGATGCAGCCGGTGGAGTGGAAGCAGCACAGAGGACGCGGCTAACACGATGGCAGGGGCATTGCGCTGGAACGCAGCTCTGCTTCACTCTGATCGCCGTGGCTGCTCTTGACGTGGCGTCGTCGACGCAGGACTGCGGAGCCCGGGAATAGCACAGCTGTGTCGGATGATCTGGAATGGAGAAGCACGTGGGATCCGCCACCGTCGGCCTCAGAGGGTCCCAGCACGATCCAGAAGGCGCCGAAGACGGCCCACGAGGCCCAAATGATGGCCCCAAGAGGAGGCCCTGATGGGGGACCCAACCGGATGCTTCGAGCCCTCGGTCCCAAGGGACCCCAGGAGACCCCAAGAGGCCCCCAAGAGGCCCCCAAGAGGCCCCAAGAGGCCCCAGCGCCCCAAACACTGCCCCGAAGAAGCCACCGAGAGCGCTTCGAAGAGACCCCAAGAAGCTTCCTGAGAGCTCTGACCCATAACCCACTTACAGTGTTGGGAAGGGCCGCAGGCCACCAGATAGGGAGATTCGCAGACAACGTGTTCCCTGTCCCGCTGCGATGCTTCTTCATTTCCAGCCCTCTGCCGCGGCAAAATCACACGTACTTGAGCAAAGCCTGAGAAATTGAACAACATAATCGAACCAACATGACTGCGGACCCTTCCGCCTCTCCCCGTCCCTCTCTTACACCTCCCAATGTTCTGTCTCTTCCTGCCACACATTAAACGAAATAACTAAAACACATAATGAACACGGCGCGACCCCAATCAGGGGAACGCTTCCTATTGCATGGGCGCAATGCTAAAATTGCTTGGCATTGCTTGGCATGAGGCACTCGGGGAACCCGGGGAACCCAGGGAACCCGGTCATGGCTTGGCATTCCTTGGCAGTGTTTGGTATTGCTTGGCATTGCTTGACACTGCTTGGCATGAGGCACCCATGGAACCTGGGGAACCCAGGGAATCTCCGAACAATGGGCAAAGTAGGGTCCCGAGACACCAAAGATTGACTCAAGTACGAACCCCTTCGGCAAGCCGAATTGGAGAACACATTGCGGACCTCGATCTTTCTGCCAATCCGTCCCTTCCTCTCCCTCCTCAAAGGCACCTCGCCTTTCATTACCCCGATTTTGGCATCGGTCTCTGACACCGCGTCGTTAGCCCTGCACGATCGCGCCGTCCTATCAGCGTGCACCGTTCGATATCGGACGATCCCGGGCCACTGGCGGCGTTCAAACTCGAACACCCCCGCTGCCAACAAAATCAGGACCGCGGCCGGTTCTTGCAGGTGGAGCTTCGCCTGCCCCTGCGACTCGTGAGTATGATTATGCGCTGCCCTCCCCCCGCGGCCTTGGGGTGCTTCGAGTCGAAGTGTTGAACCAGGCACTTGTAGTTCGTCATCTCCATCTTGCAGGACGGACAGACCACCTGGCAGGGCTAAATTTGAAGGACGGGCAGACGACCCGGCAGGGCCGGCCGCTGGAGCGGAGGCAGGGCTGGCATGTGCACAGAGCGGCGCCCGCCCTTCGCCGCCGACGCGCCGCTTGGACGGCGGCGGCGACGCATGCGGAGGCGGCGACGGCGACGGCGGCGCTCGCCGTCGCTCGGGCGGCCCTGCCATGTGCACTGCGTGATCTCGTGCCTTCGGTCTCAAGGTGGTCCACGATGGGTCACGCTCTCGGGCTCTGGCCTCCCAGAGGAAAAACAACAAAAAAAAAACAAGGCGGAGCGATGTCAATGGCGACAGATGCCCCAAAAACGACGGCGCCGACGGCCATCTGAGGGTCCCAGAGCGGCGCGGTGACAGACCGCGCGGTGACCTCGACATCGCCAGAACGACCTCACCGCACGGCTCTGAAACCCCGGCGGCCCCAAACGCCTGGGACATCTCTGGAGAACGACCCGAATCCCAAAACCGTGCTGTCACCCTGAAGCCCCGCTGACTCACCACACAGCGTGGTCACCGCACTGTTTGGGGGCCCCCGAGCTGTGTCCGGCTGGGCCGTCACGAAGATCGAGTGCCTCGCGGCGTAGACGGGCTCTGGGTGCCAGCCAGCGCGAAGACAACGAGTGTGAGGAATGCCCCGAATTGCTCGGAGGGGTTAACGATGGGGGCGCTCCCCCCACTTAGCCAGGCCATCTATCGTCCCTGAGCCACATGTGGTATTTGTAACCCTCTGAATCGCTATGCTAAACCACTCATAAACCACCTTTGCATCAACAGGTGTGGACCACGCGCAGGCCGCAACACTATTCCGAGACATTTTTTTCGTCAGCGGCGAGGCGGCGATTTCCGCTCCAGCGAGAAGCTAGATAAGGGCACTAACTAGCGAATTGTCCGGCGAGCAAAGAAGGGGGGGCGGTCGAGAGGAAGAAGGGACGCTCAGACGCCGAGGACTTCGACGATGAGCAGCTGGGGGGCAGCAGCAGCCAGGAGCGCATGGCCAGACGCATTATATTCCGAGACAAGCGTGTTGCCAGAATGCAGGTGTCACGCCCATTGCGCGCGGGCCGGGCTCGGTGTCATCGAGATCCGGCTGACGTTCGGTGGGCGATCCACGTCACGGTGTGGGGTGCAACTGCCCTCGAGAGGAAACTGGGTCCTGAGAGAAGCGGGTCCTCGACCCCAGGAGGAGGAGGAGGGGGAGGGGGAGGAGGAGGAGGAGGAGGAGGAGGAGGAGGAGGAGGAGGAGGAGGAGGAGGAGGAGGAGGAGGAGGAGAGGAGGAAGAGGAGGAAGAGGAGGAGGAGGAGGAGGAGGAGGAGGAGGGAGGAGGAGGAGGAGGAGGAGGAGGAGGAGGGAGGAGGAGGAGGAGGAGGAGGAGGAGGAGGCAGGGCCTCCCCCCAGGACGAGACCTTCCTCCCGAGCCGTTTCCTGACGGCCCCGGGGCCCGTGGGAGGCCCCGAGAGCCCGCGAACGGCGAGAACCTCAGGACCCGTTTCCCTCAGGGCCCGCTGCTGGGCGGCGCGCACGAGGGGGTGGATGAAGGGGGGAGGGCTTCTTAGAAGGAGGCCGCTTCGTAGAAGGCGCCGGCCTTGCATCTGCAGAGCAGGCCCGCGCCTGCCAAGAAGCAGGGGTGCTTCTCAGAGAAGCCCCCCCCCCTCTCTTTCCCCCCCCCCCCACCCCCCTCTGCGCGTGGCCGAGCTGCCCTCCGCGAGATCCCCTCAGCAACCCCGCGCCAGTCCTGGTGTCAGCGAGTCGGCCCACGTTCGGGAGCGGCCAAAGAGGGGGGTGTCCAAGAGGGGGGGTGCAAATCATGACCGGCGGCATGTGCGCGGCCCAGCGGGGGGGCCAGGGACGTAATGAAATAAGAAGAGGCGCCGTGCAACTGGAGGAGATATCATGGCCCTCGCCATGACATCCCCCCCCCCTGGTCATCACCCCCCTCTTTGCCGCCCCCGAGTGGCTGGTCTGCCTGGGGCGCCCCCCGGCGCCGGAGAGGGCGAGCGCCCAGCGGCGGGGCCGAGGCCGGCTGCGCGCAGCAGACGCCGTGCCTTGGAGCAGGGACCGACCGCCCAGGCATGCCGATGAAGGCCTACCACCGCGAGATGCTCTTAGAACCCCAAAATGTTCTGAGAACAAATTGGGCGCCCGAATTCTCCGGGGTAACTCGGGTCCGGGATAACTCGGGCTTGGATTCCCGGAAAAGGGAACCCGAGCTAGCCCTGACCCGAGATACTCCTGATGATTTGGGGCTCTGGACGCCCGAATTATCCCGGGTAAGTCGGGTCCGGGGTGAGTCGGGTTCGGAATCCCGAAAAACGAACCCGAGTTAGCCCTGACCCGAATTACCCCTGATGATTCGGGGTTCTGAACAAACGCAATGTTTTACCAGCCTCGAACGTATCCCTATCCCTAAGACTGGCACGCCCAAAGGCGATGGCAATCTTATGGTTTCGCCCTCAAGAAATAAGGGGATCCCTAATATTGGCATCGTGATAAGGAGGTGCCCAGCATAGGGATAGGGATATGTTCCAGGCTGGTAAATGTTCTCATCGCATAAAGAGGATGCACTCAAAAACGACAGTCCCAGCCAGACCTGTACTCTGAGAGCATGTCCTAGAAACCACCAGCGGCTCTTAGAACCCCCAAATGTTCTGAGAACCAACGCAATGTTTTACCAGCCTCGAACGTATCCCTACCCCTAAGGTTGACACGCCAGAAGGCGATGACAGTCTCAGGGATCCGCCCTCGAAAAAGAAGGGGATCCCTAAGATTGGCATCGTGATGAGGAGGTGCCCAGCGTAGGGATAGGGATATGTTCCAGGCTGGTACATGTTCTCATAACATGAAGCAGGATGCACTCAAACACGACAGTCCCAGCCAGACATGTTCTGAGAACATTTCTTGTTGGACGCCCGAAATGGGTACGGAAAAATGGGCACTATGCCCAACAACAAATGTTGTCCCGAACCAACAGCGGCCGCTGTTGGGCAGGCGGCCTTCTGTCTCGAATGGACACAGGCCGCGGCGGCGTGGACAGCGAATCCTGTTCAGAATGAACAGGAACTGCTGTTGGGCAGTGTACCCATTCTTTCCGTACCCATTTCGGGCGTCCAAATTCTTAGAAACCACACGCGGCTCTTAGAACAATATGTTGGTGGGCCCATGTCTACGCCCGGACGCCTCGCCCACTGCGCGAGTCCCGCCGGCGCGCCGCATTCTGGAGGTCGCCCCCCGGCGCCGCTTTCAGGAGGAGCCTGTTTTCTTAGACTCAAGCAAGTTTAACCCCAGGAAGCATTTCAGAACCCCCCCGGCGATATCGTAGCACCGCATTTTTTATTCGATATTCCGAGGGGCCGAAATAATCGAACGATAGCTTCAGCATCCGGACACAAGGAGGGCTCCTGGTGCCAGGTAACGCTTCCAGGGTGCGGAAGGGTTATCGATTTGCCGGAGGGGGGGGGGTTCTTAAATGCTTCCTGGGGTTACTTGCATGGCGTTCGCCCGACCCCCACCCCCCTCGCTCCTCTACAAACGAATGCTAGCCTGCGAATGCCTTTCGACTTGCGTGATTTCGTCACGTGCAAGTCGCTTGCGGCTTGTCTCAGGTTCAGCACCCCCCGTCCATGCAAGTAAACTGGCCGGGGCCTAAAAAGTCAAGCTCGAGGGCCTTGGGCGCCGGCTGCTCTCACGTGGCCGTTTAGGAGGTCTGGCGTTCCGTGTTGGCAGAGGCCACCTCACCAGGCTGTCCTGCAGGTCCACTCCCCAGACATGCGACGTCTGATTTTTTCAGGACGGCGCCCCCGGAAGTCCAGACCCTTCCCCCGTGGCCGGTTTTTCATCCTGGGTCGTTTTTCGACGGCCCCGAGGCCTGGCAAGGGCCCCCCAGGGGCCAAAAATAGCGAAGAACTTGCCGTCCTGATTTCTTTAATGACGCGATCATGCCTGGGTCCCGTCTGGCCCATTGCAGAAGTACGGCTTGCTCCAGCAGATGTCGTCCTCCCCCCCCCCTTCCCCCCAGCGTTAGGTCGGGCATGTTCCCCTACAGGAGGATTTTGGGCGAATAATTGGAAATACCCAACAAATGCACAAGCATAGCAAACAAATGCTCGAGCAACAAATCCTATATTATTTTTAAGCTATTTGGGAGTATCCCCCCTGCAGATGGGCAGGCCCGACTGAACCCCTGGCGCCCCGAATCCGCCGAGGCCCACGAGGCGGGCGCCGACCCGCTCGAGGCTATCTATAGCCTTCGGTTCTGTCTTCGCCTTGGTTACACATCCTCCTCCTCCTCCCCCTCCTCCTCCTCCTCCTCCTCCTCCTCCTCCTCCTCCGCCTCCTCCACCTCCTCCTCCTCCTCTCCTCCTCTCCTCTCATCTCCCTCCTCTCCTCCTTCTCTTCCTCCTCCTCCCTTCTCCTCCCACTCCCCCTCCTCCCTGTCCTCCTCCTCCTCCTCCTCCTCCTCCCTCCCCCTCCTCCTCTTCCTCTTCCTCTTCCTCAAAAATGATGGGCGCCCAACCCTGGGATATACAGTGGAGGCCAGTCCACAAGCAACCCTCCACCAGAAACCCCAGCCTGAGACCCAAAGACGTCCCTTGCTATTTTGGTGTGGGAGCGTCACGCTCCCCACGGCAAAACCACCGAAACCCAAGAAACCCACGGCGCCCTGGAGGCAAGCAGGGTGCTTCTTTTGGCATGGGCCTCCACTATAGCAGTGGGACGTGAAAAGTGTGCGTTTCTTTTGTATTCGGCGCTTTAGTTCATTATCATTTTTATTACTATTACTATTACTATTGTTATTAGTAGTATTATTATTACTACTATTACTATTATTACCATTATTCGTATTATCATTACTATTATTCGGCGTTTCGACATTGGGAGAAAAAGGGGGGGCGCCTGCCTCCAGACCTCTGCTTAGTGCGACTGTCTGTAAGAGTGCCGCCTCTGGGAGAGACCCCACACGCTCGACTCAGGCGCCAAAAAACAGCCATGATCAACTCCATGGGGGGGGGGCGGGCGGTGGTGCGAGGGCCCGCGCCGATCGGCAAAACAGCGAATCAAAAAACGACCACAACAAATGGTCTTTGGATCCTCCCCGCCTCTCGTCCGACCCCGAGCGCGCCCGGCCGGCGCCCTGCCGCGGAGCTTGGGCGTGCTTTTCTCGGCCTTTTCGCTCGCGTGCTCACCGCGCTGCGACCGAGCGAGCTTCGATTGTGGGTTGGCACGGGTTTGGCAAAGCGCGAGGGCCTTGTTTCCGAGCATGTTCTTAGGGTGGAGGGCTCAAGGTGAAATCCAGATGGGCTTTTTTTGCACCACGAAGATCAATCCGTCGTGTGATTCACCTTTTTGCAGATTCAAGCCTCGAAAATCAGTCGAAACGGCATTGCAGATTTCACCCATAGAACTTCACATGGTCGGCCTTTGCTTTGCAGTCGAAAGTGCACGACCTGGCGCGGAGGCGAGAATGGCGGGCGAGGGGTGGGTGGGAGTAGGGCAATCATGCGGCACAGGGCAGAGGAACAAGCGAGGAGGGAGAAGGAAGGAGGGAAAGAAGATGACCCCCAAAGGCGGGGAAGTATGGTAGGAGAAGGAGGAGGAGGAGGAGGAGGAGGAGGAGGAGAAGGTGGGGGAGAAAAAAACAGGGGGGAGGGACGGGCAGAGGACGAACACGAGGACGAAGAAAAGGACAACGCGGACGGAGTAGGAATCCCACCCGCCCTTGAGGGCGTAGGTGGTCTAGGGAGGCTCATCTTTCAACCCTCTTCTTCCTCTTGGGGGAGGGGTTTACCCTTCCCCATACCCCCTCCCCTGGACCTGGACGGGGGGGTTGGCGGGTACGTGCTTGGAGCGTCCAAGATGGCCCAAGATGGCTCCAGGAGGGCCTCGAAGAGCCCAAGATGACCTCCAAGATGGCGATGGCTCAAGATAGCCCAAGATTCCTCAAGATGGCTCCGAAGGTGCTTCAAAAGGCCCCAAGACCGCCCCAAGACGGCTCCAAGAGGCATCCGAGACCTCCAAGGAGGCCTCCCAAAGGCCAGAATCCTTTCAACATCTAAGGACAATCAATGTTGTTTGCGTCGTCGCCTTCTCGCTTCCGATCGCCTTCCGAGGCTTCAAGATGGCTCCAAGATGGCCCGAGAGGGCCCAAAGAGGGGCCCAAGAGAGCCCCAAGACGACCCCAAGAGCGCCCCAAGAACGCTCCAAGAGGGGTCCAGGAGGCGATCGTTGGGGCTCCTGAGGGGCAGCGCTAATTAGGGAACCCCTCTTGTTTGATCGATGCCCCCCAAGATGGCTCCAAGAGCGTCCACAGGGCTCCCAAGAGCGCTCCAAGAGGACCCCAAGAGGCGCCCAGACGGCCCCAAGAGGCGCCCGCCTCCAAGAGGCTCCCAAGAAAACCCTACGAGGCTCCAAGAGGCTCCCCGAGGCTTCCGAGACGCTCCAAGAGGCCCCTGGGACCTTCAAGAGGCTCCCAAGACGCAAGATGGGCCCAAGCGAGCCCCAAGACGGCCCCAGGAGCGCCCAACAGTGTCCCAATAGCGCTCCAAGAGGGACCCTTCCTCTGTGTGCTGCCCACCTCCCTGATCGAGGCAACTCCTCTGGGTATCGTCTCTGGCTGGGCTGGTGGGGTTACTTCTTTTTTGGCGCAGCTGCAGGCCAAGGGGTCCGACAGCGTCAGCAGAGTTAGCTCGGGCTACGAGCAACCTAACATCTGGTGGGGTTACGCGAAGCGTCCAGGGACAGGAGTAGGACCAGCTGTGGAAGCAGGGGGACTGGAAGAATTGGGAAGAAGGGGTATGACAAGGCTGTGGCTGGCTACAGTCTGGGAGTGACGCCACAGTAGGCACAGGTGTGCAGGCCGTGCGGCTGCGGAACCTGTGGGGCCACGGCAACCAGAATAGATACGCGTGCCAGTCATCATCGTGCTTGTGCAGGCCGGCGGTGATGGCGGAGGCGGTGGTGCACCACAACGCGCCCGCCACCGTGCCCCATGGGCTGCCCGGTGACGCGGGCTTCCGGCATCGTCCGAAAGCCCCCCCTCGAATCGAGGAGTGCTGCCTGTGCATGCGCCCACCCCCGCGCCCGAGGCTCACTCGGCGGCCGGGCGCCTCCCCGGCGCTCTGCGCACTTGTCCCGAGACGGCCCGAGGAAGGTGACACACACGCCTATGTGGCCAAGCATGGCCTCGACAGGCACCAGCAGCTCTCGAAAGGACCCCTAAGACGGGCCAAGGTGGGGCCCAGGAGGCCTCCAAGACACAGAGGAGCGGCCAAGAGACCATTATGGCTACCACAATCATGCAAAACTCCTGACGGTGCCCGTCAATTATTGGGATGTGTGCGTTTTCTTCCGTGTCTTGCATCAAGAGGTTCCAGACGGGCCTCGGAGGAGCCAACGACGGGCCACACGAGCCCAATGAGATCCACCAGAAGCCCTGCAGACTTCCCAGGCCAACCCCAGGGGCCTCCAAGACGGCCCAAGAGGGCCCCGTGACAGGCCAAGAGGGCCCCAAGAAGGCTCAAGAGGGCCCCAACACTCTCCCAAGACAGCCCTGAGAGACTCCCCAGAGTGCCGAGGAAGAGCACAAGACGGCCCAATGGGCCTCAGGACCCAGGACGGCCCTGAGAGGGCTCCGCGGGAGCCCAGCGAAAAGCCTTCGGTGCTCAACGCGACTTGCCGCACGCAACTGGATGATTAACCGTGACGTGCAAATTCCTCCTCCTCCTCCCCTCCTCCTCCTCCTCCTCCTCCTCCTCCGCCTCCGCCTCCGCCTCCGCCTCCGCCTCCGCCTCCTCCTCCCTTTGCTCCCCTCCCCTGGTCCTCCCCCCTTCCTCCCCCGAGCCTCCTGCCCCCAGTCCGAAGAGGGCCGCGGTCGGCAGGGGGAGAGGGGGGGAAGGAGGGCGCCGCCTTGAGCCCTGCCTTCTGGGCCTCCTTCTGGCTGCCCGACGTCTTCTGGGCCGCCAGCTTCGCCGCGTTCTTCTTCTGGGCCTGCCGGGGCCCCGGCGGCGGCCTCAACAGGGTGGTTAGAGTGAAGTCGGGCGTGCCCCTATACAGGAGGGAAATTCAATGGGGACGTTTTTTCTAGTATGGGGATGTTTTTTCTAGTATGTTTGACTTGTTTGATTAAGGTTTGTTTTTGAATTGTTCCTCGAAGATCGGCCTGTATGGGGGACATGCCCCACCTAAGGTTAGATCTGCGGCTTCGGAGGCGGAGGGGAGGTGAGAAGAGGCACTGGCGAGGTCCGTCCTGGCTTTCCACGACATCACCCAGTGCCGCCACGCAGGCCCGGACCATGGCGGCGGCGCGCCGCTGGGTCGCGACGTCTATGGCCGCCCGCGTACACTGACGAGCTCACAACAAACAGCACCTGTAGCTAATCGTCCGACTTCGGGTCTCAAGCCCTGATTAGGCCTACCAGGGATAGATGCCCTTTTTGCTGGCGGAGAGATGATGGCAGCAGCATGTTGTATCGTCGCGTGCACTGTGACTCTGCGGGGCGCGTGGCAACAGCCAGAGATAGATCGGTGCGGAACAACTAGGTAAGCTGCACAGGGCCCTATAAACGAATGGACCACGTCTGCAAGAACGCTGGGCGAACACGACACTGGCGCACCGGTACGATGCATCATAATAGGACGGGCCCCGACCCCCACTTCCGCACCAACGAATGACACCTACCGTACATCTGCCTATCGCCTCGGACAATTCGTATCGATGTGGTGCGCAAGAAGAACACAGGTGCCGAACGGACGGAATTATTGATCGTTTTCCTCTCCCCCTCAGCCTCCTTCTGAAACATCCGCCTCCTATGTGGCACGGACGGTGTTTCAATAATGTGATGCCCTGGGATGTGTACAATCCAAGCGATGTGTCGGCATTCGCGGGAAATGCCAATCCGGAATGGACTCGAACGAGTTACAAACCTCCATTTGGGAACGCATCAACATGGCAGCAACCCAGAGATCGAGGAGGAGGAGGAGGACGAGGAGGGGGACGAGGAGGAGGAGGCGGAGGAGGCGGAGGAGGAGAAGGAGGAGGACGCGGAGGAGGAGGAGGAGAAGGAGGGGGAGGACAGCAGCGAGAGAGGTGGAGGACGGCGACGAGGGAGGAGGAAGCAGGACCTGCGCACTCTCAGCTCAGGACATCCTGCAGCAGAGGCGCACCCACAATATAAGCAAACTTGTCGCGACCCCATCCCACTGGGGAAATGAGAGGGCGCATGCCTTGTTAGAAGGCGGCGGGGCTTCTAAGACGCCGTCCAAGCCTCCTGAGTCTTCTGTGTCTTCGAGAACGACTTAGAGAACAATTATCCGAAGGCGCGAGGCCTTCCCAGCCTCCTGAGAAGGCCCGCCCCCTCTCACTTCCCCCCTGGGCTCGCCGCCGCCGACAAACGAGACGAGGGACAACAACGACGAAAGAGCGCAAGACGGAGGAAGAGGAGGAAGAGGAGGGAGACCGACTCTACGAACTTCCGCTTACCGAGCGGTCAACCTCGAAAAGAGACGGGGGGGGCGGACGGAGGAGTCCACGACGGGAATGCTCCATAGACTTAGAACGAGCATGTCCCCTTACAAACGGGTTCTGGGCGAAAAATTAGAACTACCGGAAAACATAACCCAAAATAGTTGTCTAAACATTGAAAACTCGCCTCCATACTATGTTTTGACTATTTTTGAATACTCCTCCTGTAGAGGGACAGGCCCGACTGAACCACAGTCCGCCAATGCTTGAGACGTGCCGCCCGAGAATCTCTCACAGACAACTGGGTGTATGGACACGCGTAGGACGACACCCAGACCCCAACGTTGATGGGCTAATTTTCCACCACCCCTACCGTATACAGGGGGAGGAGGAGGAGGGGGAGGAGGAGGAAAGGAGGGAGGAGGAGGAGGAGGGAGGAGGAGGAGGAGAAGGAGGAGGAGGAGGAGGAGAAGGAGGAGGAAGAGGACGAGGACCTCTTCATCCTCCCGTCTCCCCGTCCTAACATGGCAGTGGTGGTGGAAAATTGCCCATTAGACGTCAAGGACCCCATTCCGGGGATCGGTTTCTCATCCCGAGTCGTTTTCAGACGGTGTCCCGAGGCACGCCGAGTACCCCTGGAAGCCGAAATGCAGAAAACCCTCCGTCGCATGATTGTTCACCATGCGAGGTCTGAGGAGAGAACGATGATGATGAAGTTAGCGCCGACCTGCGCGAGGCCTTCTCTGTCCATCCATCGCCACCTTCTCCTCCTTCTCTCATCCTCTCCTCCCACTCCTCCTCTTCCTCCTCCTCTTCCTCCGCCTCCCCCTGCCCCCTCCCCCTCCTCCTCCTCCTCCTCCTCCTCCTCCTCCTCCTCCTCCTCCTCCTCCTGGCCAAGTCTGGCTGGGGCTCCGATGGGGCCCACGACTTTCAAGCCTGCCCATCACGAGGCTCACAGACTGTGGTGCAGAGCAGATGGCCGGGCTGGCACTGGCCTTACACCACGCCTCACGCTCACGCGATGAGGTCGTCGTCGTCGTCGGGCGGCGGCCGACGATTGACGTTCGATGCTCGTGGATGGATGTGCTGCTGCGACTTTCCGCCCTCGTAACGACTCTCGAGTCGGGTCATTCAACAACTGCATAATCATACACATACGGAGGTACGCGCATATTTGTTTGATCGGCGCTGCTCGACCTTGGCCGCCACTGACGTCGCTACAATGTTGCGTTCGGTTGTTACGGACGCCTACCATAGCCAACATGTAGACGGATTAACGGCAACTAGCGGCAACCGATTAGCGGCAAATATCGGCACAAACCCCGCACCAACCGTCCAACACTCAGCCCCTATTCGCCGCTAATAGCCGATCAACGCAAAACAAAACTTTCGGCAGTGAAACTTAAGTCCTTGTGCAAGAACGGTTCGGAACGTGCGTCACACATGGCTGCATCGGCACGGAACCGACATCGGATCGAATCGGCCACGCCAGGATACACAGCTGCGCCGTGCGAGTACTGGACCGTAACACATCGCTGCGGGAACCGACATCAAATCTGACCGAGAGGCTGGCGAACGCGAGATGGAATCGGATCGATAAAATCGGATTGGGCCCCAGCGAGTCAAGTGTGCATCCCTTCCTCCTGCAACCCCGTGGGAAACAACTACTGTGAGGTCTTCCTAAGAACGAATGAAAGCTACTAAGCTGGATTAAGGGGCGATCAAGCCGGATCAAGCCATAAAAAGGTGGGGATGATGCCAGAGCAAGCCGGATCAAGCCGCGTGAAACGGCACTGTGCGGGGCCACGTCAGTTTCTGACCCTGGATATGCCAGCAGCGCCGATGCTTCGAGGCGGGGATTCATCCATGTCCACCGCCTGGGAACCGACGTCCTGGTGCCCCAGCGGGCGGTGGACATGGATATACTTTGGCCCTAGGGGGGGCCGAATCTATCCACGTCCACCGCCTCCCGAGGTCCCCGAAAATCGATCCTCTGGACCGTGGTCTTGCATAAATTCCCGCCTCGGAGACGCTGAAGTCCACCTCCCAGGAGCTGCATCCTGAGCCCCCCCCCCGAGAAGGCGGAGGACGCGGCAGCTGCGAGCCTCCTCCTTCGCGTGGCCCCGGACCATGGCCGAGGTCTTAGCACACAAGGCGGGCACTCGGGCGTGGACGCGCGCAAGGAGCCGGCCCTGAGCCGGGAAAAGCACCCCTGCAGCAACGCGCCGCCTCTTGGGCCCCGCCGCACCCAGGTTTCGCCAAAGAGGGGGGCCACCTCCTCCTCCTCCTCCTCCTCCTCCTTCTCCTCCTCCTCTCCTCGTGGAGCACCGTGCCCCGAGGCATGTGTTCGAACCACTGGGGGCTGGCGGGAAGTGCTGGAGAAGAAGAATTCGGAGAAGACGAAGAAGAATAATAATGATAAGAAGAAGAAGAAGAATAATAAGAAGAATAATAATAATAAGAAGAAGAAGAATAATAAGAAGAAGAAGAAGTTGGAAGAAGAGGAAGACGATGGGGCCACGAAGCCTGGCAACATACCCAGGCCCTTGCTATGAGACGGGAGGCAATGACGGGGGGGCCGGCTCGGGGGGAAGCATCGACCTGGAATCGGCGACATGAGGCCGATAGATCTGCGATAGGCTTCGAGGCCACGCGAGCCCGTGCGGGGTGGGCTAGCGGGTCCCCGTCCGCGATGAGTGAGCGGTTGGGGGGCGACGCATCCCAACCTGAGCCCATGACCCCCCGCCGTTGGCCCTCATGATTAGAGGCCTCCCTACTGGGGTCCGAGCAGATGGGGTCGGAGGATCGTGCGGCATCGCAGATGCATCGGCGATGCACCGCCCTCTCCCCAGGGTCCGCTGAAGCCTGGGGCGCAGAAGGCCATGATGATACCAAGTGCCTCTGTTGGCAGCGCGCGTCCGACCCGAACATGGCTACCGCACACACATCTCGCAGCAGATCGTCTCCCGAGCGGGATGGCCAGAAAGCGCGCACCGCCGGGCATATACTATGTGATGCGTCGGCGCGCGCGCCGCCCCCGTGGTGCGGACGCGCAGACACTGGTAGCAGTAGGTGGGGCATTGGACCCCGCAGGCGGATTTCCGAAGAGAACTAAAAGAATGGTCACAACATACTCAAAGATAGTCAAAACAATACTCAAAAAGCCATCCCCCATGTTATTATTGGAATATGTTTGAATACTCCTCCTGTAGAGGGACATGTGAACTTTTTTATTCGGTGTTTCGACATTGGGCGGAAGGGGGGGGGAAGGGGGCGGGTCTGGTTCTGGACCTCTGCTTAATGCGACTGTTTGGAACCGTGCGGCCTCTTGGGGGAGACTCCACCCGCTCGAAACAGGCGCCAAAAAGCAGCCACGATCCACCTCCAGGGGGGGGGGTATGGGGCCCCCCCGCCGATCGGCAAACTAATGAAGAAAAAGACCACATCATTTTTTGGGACTCTTCTTGAATGCTCCTGTAGAGGGACATGCCCGACTGAATGCCAGCATCTTTGGGCCACGCCGACGACAAGGAGGACGAGGAGGAGGAGGAGGAGGAGGAGGAGGAGGGAGGACGAGGAGGAGGAGGAGGAGGAGGAGGTGGAGGGGAGGAGGAGGAGTAGCAGGAGAAAAGGAGGAGGAGGGAGGAGGAGGAGGAGGAGGAGGAGGAGGAGGAGGAGGGAGGAGGGAGGAGGAGAAGGAGGAGGAGGAGGAGTGAGGACGAGGAGGAGGACGAGGAGGAGGACGATGAGGAGGACCTGGCCGCCTACGCCCTTCGGAGGAGCCCTCCAGGCATGCCCGACTGACTGGCAGCCTGTCTCGGCCCCGCTGGCGGCAGGCCGGGGCAGCGGCGCGCTCCCGAGGCCCGCTGCGCAGCCGCAGGCCGCGGCGTTCTCTCCCCGCCCTCGGGGATCTTCTGACCCGGGTCAATCCAGACCCGGGTCAGCAGGAATCCAAAAACTGCAATGCAGGATCACGCAGGTCTTCGCAAACCTGGGTCAGACAATATGCGCGGCCGCCTCGCGGCCACAAGCGGCTCGCTAACCGGGTCAGCCAGAGGGGTCTTCGCAGGATGCATTGACCCCCGTCTCTTGAGCCCCGACGCCCGTCGTCTTTCCCCCCCCCGGGGGGATGGGAAAGTCCAAAGTCAGGGTTAGCACTACGGTGCGGGCGCGGCCGCAAGAAGCCCTCGCAAGAAACCCAACCCTGAGAGCCCGTGCGCGAGGTGCACCCGAGGGAAGACCCGGAGCACCCCGAACGCAGCAGCTCCGTCAACGGCTGCGGGAAGTCACAGCGCAGCGCGACGAGCAAGGAAACCCAGGATACCCTGACGAAAAGCATGTGGTTTCTTGATGCGCGCCCCCACCGTAGGTCGGGCGTGTTCCCCCTTCAGGCGGCTTCTGGGCGAACAATAAAACACACGCCCAGAAATTGCCCCCCAAACATGCCCAAACATACTCAAGAACATCCCCCCTCCGGACCATTTTTTGACTAGTGTGAAATCTCCCTCCTCTGTAGAGGGACAGGCCCGATGTAAGGTGAGCAGTGGGTCTCAGTTCCCCAGCAGGGGATCTCGACTGCAGAATTGATGTGCCCCAAGATGGACACGGCTCGTCGAGCCTACGAGCAATGCGTACAGCGCTCGAACATCTCAGAACATGATGCGCGCGTGTCGTCCACGAGGCCAGAAGCTCGGCAGCGACGATAGGGGCGAACAGCCCAGGGGCGGGCACTACACGCGTTCGCCCGGAAGCCTGGTCGAAGACATGGATCATCGGCACCCCTGGATTGACATGTACTGCTCTCCCTTGGGAGCCCTGTGGACGCTCTTGGAGCCATCTTGGGGGACATCGATCAAAAAAGAGGGGTTCCCTAATTAGCGCTGCCCCTCAGGCGCCCCAAAGATCGCCTCCTGGACCCCTCTTGGAGCGTTCTTGGGGCGCTCTTGGGGTCGTCTTGGGGCTCTCTTGGGCCTCTCTTTGGGCCCCCTTGGGGGCCATCTTGGAGCCATCTTGAGGCCTCGAAAGGCGATCGGAAGCGAGGCGACGATGCAAACAACATTGATTGTCCTTAGATGTTGAAAGGATTCTGGCCTTTGGGAGGCCTCCTTGGAGGTCTCGGATGCCTCTTGGAGCCGTCTTGGGGCCTTTTGAAGCACCTTCGGAGCCACCTTGAGACATATTGGGCTATCTTGAGCCATCGCCATCTTGGAGGTCATCTTGGGCTCTCCCAGGCCCTCCTGGAGCCATCTTGGGCCATCTTGGACGCTCCAACCACGTACCCGCGACTCCCCCCGTCCACGTCCAGGGGAGGGGGTATGGGCAAGGGTAAACCCCTCCCCCAAGAGGAAGAAGAGGGTTGACAGATGAGCCTCCCTAGACCACCTACGCCCTCAAGGGCGGGTGGGATTCCTACTCCATCCGCTTCGTCCTTTTCTTCGTCCTCGTGTTTGTCCTCTGCATGTCCCTCCCCTCCTCCTCCTCCCTCCTCCCTCCTCCTCCTCCTCCCCTCCTCCTCCTCCTCCCTCCCCCCCCCCCCCTTCCCACCCCCTCCCGTGTCTTCCCTCCCTCCGCCTCCACGCCCCCTCCCTCCCTGTCCTCCCGCCCTTTTTCCTTCTCATTCCCCCTCTTCTATCATACCCCCATTGTTTGTGACATGTAGGTCTCTGGCCCCTCCCCTTCTCCCCCTTCGTCTCTCTTTCTACTCCCCTGAGATCTGCCGACGTCTCTGGAGGCCTGGACGTCCCTGGAAAGCTGCGCAGGCCTCTGGCAGCATCTGGATGCCTGTGGGACCCCGGATATGATCCCTGAGCGCCCAATCTTCTCAATCGTCTCCGTCCGCTCCCTCCTCCACTTCCCACCCCTGGACCCGACGTCGAAACCCTCTCTCGACGACGACGAAGACGACCGTGACGACGACGACGACGACGACGACGACGACGACGACGACGACGAACATGGCAACGACCCGACGGCGACGACGACCGCGACCACGACGACGACCACGACGCAGACGACCGCGACGGCGACGACGACCGCGACCACGACGGCCGCGACGACGACGACGACGACCAAGACCACGACGCCGACGCCGACGACGACAGCGACGACGACGAACCGACGGACCGACCGACGACGGCCGCGCGGCGCGGCCGCTCCGCGCGGGGGCAGCCCGCCGCCGCGCCACGCGGCCCTGCTCGGCAGTGGCCGCCGCGCGGGGGGGAGGCTCGCCCTGGGCGCCGCCTCCGCGGCCTGGGGCCGCGCCACGCCCCCGAGGCGACGACGAGGCAGCGGCGACGACCACCGCCACGCGACGGCGACGGCGGCGACGGCGGCGACGGCGACGACGACGGCGACGGCGACGGCGGCGACGACGACGACGGCCGCGAAGACGTCCTCGTTCCCCGCTCCCCGTCCCCTTCACGCTCCTCCTCCTCCCTCCTCCTCTCTCCTCCTCCTCCTCCTCCCTCCTCCTCCTCCCCTCCATATCTGTCTCCCTCCTCCTCCTCCTCCTCCTCCTCCTCCTCCTCCTCCTCCTCCTCCTCCTCCTCCCCCTCTTCTTCCTCCTCCTCCTCCTCCTCCTCCCTCCCGGCCCTCCTGGCCAGGCCAGGGACGGGGCCTCGGGGCGATCGAAGCCGGGGACGGTACGTGTACAAGGTCCAACAGCCTAGGCCTCCAGCCTTGGCCTCCAGCCTGGGTTCGTTCCGTGTCTCTATGCCTGACCCTCACATCTTCTGCCCATGACACCCTCATTCCGCCCGTGACTCTTCCATCCTGCTGCCTTCCTCTCTCCAGGGCCAGTTCGGGATCGAGAAAGGACGCATGCCAGAAGAGCTGGCGTTCGGCATTCCGACCGTTCAGGCCTCCCAAACGGGATCCAAGAGGAGGAGACGCTCCCCCCTCGGCGGTCTGGGGCTGGGCGTGGGTGGCGGGAGGCCCCTCCTCGCTCTCCTCCTCCTCCTCCTCCTCGTTCTCCTCCTCCTCCTCCTCCTCCTCCTCCTGCTTCTGCTCCTGCTCCTGCTCCTGCTCCTGCTCCTCCTATTCCTCCCCCTCCTCCTCCTCCTCCTCCTCCTCCCCCATCCTCCCCCATCCTCCTCCACCTCATCCCCCTCCTCTTCCTCATCCTCTCCTCGACCTCCTCGTGAATCGCGGCCCGTCTCCGCCCTGGGAGCCTGCCCTCTCCTCCCCGTGTCGGGGCACCAGAGGCGGTGCTGTGGCGGACCGTGGCGGTGACCCCGAAATCTCCAATCTGGGCGCACGAACTGGGTCGAGGAAGGTCGACCTCGAGGATCTAAGGTCGAGGTTTTGGTGCGTTTTGGGGAAGGGGGGGGGTAAGCTCTGTGTCCCAAAGGCCTCCAGAGACTCCCAGAGACCTCTCAAGACCTCTCCGCGAGAGGAAAATGTGCTGATGCTGATGATGTTGATGAAGATGTGCTAATGCTGATGATGATGGGAGGCGGGGGAGGAGGAGTGAGTGGACGCGGGGCGCTGACTCTACAAAACAAGGACCCACCACAGGATGGATGGGGAGACCATGGGAAAACTGCAAGGCCCGTTTCCAACAGGACCCGTCTGCTTCAAGGCGACACCTCTCCTTCCCAAGACCTCCGACGATACTGTTTGTTTGAAGCGTGCGTTACTCCTTGATGTCGGCCTCCATTGTTAGATCGGGCATGTCCCCAACGGGCGGATTTGAGACAAAAACAAAGCATACCCCCTAAACTACCAAAACAATATCAACAAATCATAGAAAAATCGTCCCCATACTATTGTTTTGAAGTTGTGGAATATTATTCCTCCTGTAGGCGGACAGGCCCGGCTTAACTTCACCGGTGCCTGACGACCAGGAGGCCGAGCCCCGAGGCCGCCGGCGGCCTGAGCTTGCCCGAGAACCTGCGCCATCTCCCGACGCAAGCGTAGGGGCTCCGGGGAGTTGCCCACCAGGATGCAGGCGGAAGGCTGTGCAAAACCAGCCTGGTACTGGCCCCTCTGCGACCACGATGCGTCGGGACGTGACCCTGGCGAGGCCGCGCGTGGGGCTGCGGGGCCTGCGATCGAACCCAGAGGCCATCAACTCAGACCCCCGACGTCATGATTTTTTCATGACATCGACCCCCAAAGGCCTCGACCCATGCCCCCGGACCAGTTTTTCATCCCGAATCGTTGTTCGACGGTCCCGAAGCTAGGCGAAACCCCCGACGGGTAGAAAATTGCGAAAAACGGCCCGTCGTGTCTTTCATTCGCGACTCGGAGAGTCCGCGTGACTCGAGCATGGTGACCATCAACCACGGAGCCGGAGCGAAAGGCTGCCCCCCGATCGTGAGACGAGAAGAAGGAGGAGGAGGAGGAGAAGGAGGAGGAGGACGACGAGGACGAGGAGGAGAAGGAGGAGAAGGGAGGAGGGAGGAGGAGGGTTGAGGGAGGAGGGAGGAGGGCGAGCAAGCGGAGGAGGAGGAGGAGGAGGAGGAGGAGGAGGACCAGGAGGAGCACGAGGAGAAGGAAGAGGAGGAGGAGCAGGAGGAGGAGGAGGAGGAGGAGGGAGGAGGAGGAGGATGAATGGAGGAGGAGGAGGAGGAGGAGGAGGGAGGAGGAGGAGGAGGAGGAGGAGGAGGAGGAGGAGGCAGAGAAGGAGGAGGAGGAAGAGGATCTCAAGGGCCTCGAGGGGGCGGAGGATGAGAAGGAGGAGGAGCAGGACGAGGAGGAGGAGGAAGAGGAGGAAGACAACGAGGAGGAGAAGGTGGAGGAGGAGGCGAGGGATCCAAGAGGAGGAGACGCTCCCCCCTCGGCGGTCTGGGGCTGGGCGTGGGTGGCGGGAGGCCCCTCCTCCCCATCCTCCTCCTCCTCGGTCTCCCTCCTCCTCCTCCTTCTCCTCCTCCTGCTTCTGCTCCTGCTCCTGCTCCTGCTCCTCCTATTCCTACCCCTCCTCCTCCTCCTCCTCCTCATCCTCCTCCTTCTCCCCCATCCTCCTCCTCCTTTTCCTCCGTTTCCTCCTCCTCGTCCTCTTCTTCCTCCTCCTCCTCCTCCTCCTCCTCCCTCTGCTGCTGCTGCTTCCTTTGAGCAGCAAGCACGGTCTGTCGCGCGGCCGCACACCCTGAGCTCGCCCCAGACGGCGGCGACCAGCTAGCCCCGCTTCTCCTTCTCCCCTTGCTGTTCCTCCGCCTTCTCCTCCTCCGCCCCCTCGAGGCCCTTGAGACCCTCTTCCTCCTCCTCTTCATCCTCCTCTTCCTCTTCCTCCTCCTCCTCCTTCTTCTCCTCCCCCCCCTCATCCTCATCTTCATCCTCATACTTCTTGGCAGACCCCCCAGAAGCCTCCCCGAACCGAGACGAAGCCAGGACGAGGACAACCTCGGGCGAGGACGAATCAACCACCTCTGAGGTCTGGCGGCTCTGGAGGATGTCTCGGGCGCCGCGGCCTTCTCAGCGAGCTCCAGAACGCTCCGAGAGCGTTCCAGAACGCTCTGGAGCAAATTCATCCTCGGCCTGGCTCCGCCCGGCTCGCCTCACCAGACCCCCCCAGGGAGCCATCCAAAACTCCCGAGGTGTTCTCGTCACCGTCAAACCTACCAGGCCCCTCTGGGCCCCCTCCCCCTCCGCCTGACCCCCCGAGCCGTCTTGGGGTGCGTTCGGACCAGGATTTCGATGCGAACCCTGCCACGGCGATGAGGGCAAAACGAAAAACGTCATGACAGAACTCCGCGTCCTCCTCTTCCTCCTCCTGAGCTCTCCAAGGGTCTCCAGAGGTCTGGAGGTCCTCGAAATTACCCCAGCTGCCCCAAACCAGTGACAAGAATGCCCAAGATACGGATCCCCCTGATCCTCAAACTTCGAATGGGTGCTCCCTCCCTTTCCCCAGCCCCCCGAAGCCATGATTCTTCTCATGACCTGGCCCCAACGAGGTCTGGACCCATCCAGGGGACCGACGCTTCATCCTGGCCGCTGTTGCGACAGTCCCGAGCCAGGGCCCCCTCCCGGAGGCAGAGCACGACGGAACAGCAAACGCCTGTCGCATATGCTTCACGACGCGACGGGGCCTGGGCTCTTCCAGATGGCGACCTCCGAGCCCTGCCCCCACGAGCCCTCGACTCTCCTCGATCGATGGGAGGCGGAAACCTGGTTTGGATCCTGATGGGCAAATTCTCCTCCACCACTACCATATGTAGGACGGGGGACAAGGGGGGATGAGGAGGTCCTCCTCCTCCTCCTCCTCGCGGCGCCGCAGCTCAGGCGGTGAAACGGTCGTCGTGTCGTTCGGCCTGGCCATCGACCTCGTCTGAGGTCCCCCGAGGCGCTGCGTGCTAGTCAGACGGCACCCTCAGGCTCCTGACCTCCTGACCTCCTCCACCTCGTATCCCCCTCCCCCCCTCCAACTTACGGTTGTGGTGGTGGAAGATGGGCCCATCTGGTCCCGCCACGTGCCCGACGAATTGCGAACTCTACGCCCCCGCCGCCCGATGCCTGCATCGCTGCTCGGCGAGGCGCGGGTGGGCATGCGGATCTCGCCGCCGATCTCCCCCACCCCGCGGGCGCCTCAGCCGAGCTCCAGCATGCTCACGTTGTTGACCAGCGCCACCATGCGCACCACGTGGTTCCCAGCGTCTGCCACGAACAGCTCCGCCTCAAAGGCTCCGGCAGCCTCGGGAGCAACGTTGTCATCCTCCTCTTCCTGCTCCTTGACCCCGCCTCGCCCTCCCCCTGCACATGCCCCTCGTCCTCCTGCTCCTCCCCCTCCTCCCATCTAACCCATCCTGGTTGTCATCTTTCCCCTGTCCTGTCCCCCTTGGGTTTCCGCCTCTCGTCTTCCTCCTCCTCCTCCTCCTCCTCCTCTTCCTCTTCCTCCTCCTCCTCCTTCTCCTCCTCCTCCTCCTCCTCCTCCTCCTCCCCAATTTTCCTCCGTCTCCCCCTGCCCCTCATCGCCTCCACCCCATCCTCATCGATTCCCCCCCTCCAGCACTCCTTCTCCACCTGCTCCTTCCCCTCATTTCCCTTCTTCGCATCTACGGCCTCCACCCCTCTTCGTACCCCTCCTCCGTCTCGGTCCCGTTACGTAGCGGCTTGGAACGTGCCCCCCATATGTTCAGGAAGTCGTGTGCAGTAAATGGGGTCACGTGTGGGTTAGTACACGACGGCAGGCATCACTCCTCTTGGTGCGCCTGGAACACTTGGAAAGCTTCACGAGAAAGAGAAGTGAAGAGGAGACTTGCGGCTCAGGCCAATGTCATAAACTCCCCTGCGGTGCGTCAGCATGATCGTGCCTTTGGCCCTTCCTTGCACGGACTCGAGCAGCCTGCGCGTCCCGCCTGTCATGGTCCGCTAGGCCATCATTGTCTGTTACGCAAGGAAGACACTGCATGACTACAGACCGGCAAACCTCACAGCGCCCTTCAAGATGAGTAGCGACTCCTACACGGAGGCGAAAGCACTGCATGCACGGGGCAATGCGCCACGACAACTAGCTCGCGTAGGAACAAGGCTGGCAAACGAAAGTCTGGTTGACCTCAGCCATTCGGCGGGTCATCGCCCACGTCTGCGGGCGAATCGCATCGCACTCGATCTGAGCAGCCTTCAATTCGCTCTGAACAGCCAAGGCGGTTGACGGATGCCAACGATCCAGCGATCGATTGGTTGCGCCGCCTATCATCTCCCCCTCCTCCTCCTCTCGTCTGGTCTTCTCCCCCTCCTCTTGCTCCTCCTCCTCACCTGGCAGGGAGACGAGCGCACGGATCGCGAAGGGCGAGGGAGGGGAGAAAGCAGAGAGGGAGGAGGAGTCAAGTTGAGGAGAGATGCCGATAAAGAAACACATGAGAAGTCAGGTGGAGGAGTGCTGGGGGGGGAGGGGGATGAGCAGGAGGACGAGGATGAGGGCAAGGAGGAGGAGGAAGAACAGGAGAGAGGAGACCGAAGCGCCCAGGGAGAGGAGAGAGTTGGGAAAGGAAATTACGTGAGGAGGAGGCTTATGGGAGGAGGAGTCAGGAGGAGCACGATGATGAATCATACGAAATGTCAGCCAGCATGGACTCCAAAACGCGGTATCTTGCAATATTTGAGGTGCAACCTAGATGGTGCAATTCACTTTGACTGTCTTGAAGCTGTCCTCTCCACTGCTCGTGCAAACATCCCACCCTCCAACCAACAAGTTGGTCGCAAGACCTCTTAAGACCGTGAGGGCAGGTACCAAATAGCACTTGGCAACGACACCGACACCGACGACGACACCGACAACGACGACGACGACGCCGACGACGACTACGATGACAACGACGACGACTCCAACGACATCGACGACGACGACGACAACGACGACGATGACGACACCGACGACGACGACGCCGACGACGACGACGACAATGACGACGACGACGACGCCCACGACGACGACGACGCCGACGACGACGACGACGACGCCGACGACGACGACGACAAAGACGACGACGAGGACGACGACGACGTCGCCAACAGAGACGACGACGGCGACGAGGAAGGAGGGAGGACGACGACGGCGACAACGACGACAACGACGAGGAAGGAGGGAGGACGGCGACGACGCGAACAACGAAGAAGGAGGAAGGACAGCGACGCCGAAGACGACAACGACGAGGGAGGAGGGAAGACGACGACGACGACGACGACGTTGACGGAATAGGAGGGACGACGACGAGGCGCCGACGACGGACGACGACGGCGACGAGGGAGGAGGAAAGACGACCACGGCGACAACGACGACGGAAACGACGACGACGCCAAAGAGGACGGCGACGACGACGAGGAAAGACAGAGGACGACGACGGCGACGACGACGACGACTAGGGAGGAGGAAGGACGGCGACGACGGCGACGACGACGACGACGACGCAAGAGCGCGCGCGCACGCTTTTGTTGAAAATGCGTGTTGCGAGACCTTGTTTATGTGTTTTTCGGACACTCGATTTTGACATCCTTCCGGAACCGAGGGTTTTTGATGAATTTCGGCATGCGCGCGCGACGACGCGCGCGCGTGCACTTCGTCCCATTGTGTCAGAGGGTTCTTGCGACGGCACGCGCGCAAGGGCGTTCGAGCGATTTCGAAATGCGCGCGCGAAGCCCGTTTGGTGGTATGTTCTGAAAATAATGAAAACTGATGGTCTTCTTAAATTTCGCAAGAACGCGCGGGTAAGTGTTTTTTGTGTTTCAAAATCCGTGTCGCGAAGCCTGGTGGTTTTGTTCCCCAATCAGAACTTGTCTCTGTAGGGGTCCTAGCGGGCTCATATGGCTAGGTTCGGTTTGCCGCCGATTTTCGCCGCACGCCCGGGTGCCCGGGTGCCCGGGGGTGCCTGGGTGCCCGGGTGCACAAGGGTGCCCGGGTGCCCGGGTGCCCGGGGGTGCCCGGAGGTGCCCAGGGGTGCCCGGAGGTGCCCCAGGGTGCCTGGGTGCCCCGGGGTGCCTGTGTGCTCTATCGCCAAAAAGTTTCATATAGCTCTATAGCCCTATATCCCTAAAGACATCAAGACCTATAGACCTATAACCCTATAGCCCTATAGCCCTAGAGCCATAATAGCCCTGTAGCCCTACAGCCCTATAGTCCTTATGCCCTATAGCCTAGTCGCCCTATAGCCCTATCCCCATATAGCCCTTATGGGCCAATAGCCCTATAACCTTATTGCCTTGTAGCGCTATAGTCCTACAGTCCTATGTTCCTATAGCCCTATAGTCCTATAGCCCTAGCCCTATGGTCCTATAACCGTATAGCCCCATAGCCCTACAGCTCTAAAAATAGTAGGATTTGGGGCTTTGCGCGGGAATCATATGTTATTTAGGAACTCAATTTTGAAATCCTGCGGAAACCGACGGTTTTGCAAGGGACACTTGGCAAACTATACATGTTGATAAACGTGTGTGCGCAGAATATTAATTGCAAAGAGAGCCGAAGGGGGGGGCGATACCAGCCTAGCTGGGATATAATGAATTCACAGTTTGCATGGACGAGGAGGCAGAATCATCATATGTAAAATGCAGTACGAAAAAAGGGGGTATTTAAGTCCAGGGGGGAGGGTGGTAGAACCTATCTCTCTCTCTCTCTCTCTTTTGAAAAGGAGAATCAATGTGGTACAATCTAGGTGCTGCAACTGGCTTCTGTTCGCATTGAGATGTCAACTCTACTGTTCGCGCAACCACACCGCCCACCCACCCGCAACTTGGTTTTCAAAACCCATGCGACGACGATTGCGATGAGTGCTTGGCGTTGGCTGGTGCATCTCTGTGGCCGCGCTAGTCCGCGCATGCTCGCGCGCGAAGCGTCCATCTAGCTTGGCGCGGCCGACGCGGCCGCGGTGGCGCTGACCGCTGGGCACTTCCCAGCGGGCACTTTAGTGCGAATATGCGTCGTCCTCCTCCTCTCCTCCTCCGCAGGCCAGGGGCCGCCGATGACCGCCGCTGTCAGCCGCTCCCGAGACCACACACGGTCACACAGAAACGTACAACCTTTCGGAGGTCCGCGCGGATTGGAATCGGCGCTGACCCCCCTTTGGCGGCGAGCCCCGGGGGGGGGAAGTGAGAAGGAGAAGGCCTTATCAGAACGCTCGGACAGAACGCTCGGAAGTCCCGTGGCCTTCTGAGAAGTCTTCTGAGCCGTCCCCGAAGACTCCACAAACTTCTCAGACGGCGCGATGGACTTCTGAGAAGCCCCGCCGCCTTGTGAGAAAGCCCTCTCCTTCTCAGTTCCCCCCCTCGCTCGCCACCCAACCCGTCCCTGGTGCGCGGAGCGCGCCGGGGGCGGCGCCGGAGGCCGCGCTGGTGGCTCTGGCGCGGAGCCGAGAAATCGGCGCGCACCTCCGAGAGTTGATGCTTAAAGTCAAAAGCCCCAGTAAGGACGCGCGGCAAGGACGCAAGACCCTTGGAAGCCGAAGTTGGGATGTTCGGGGCGGCGGACGACGAACACCTCAAGGCCGCAAGAGCAAGGAAGAGCAAGGACGCAAGGGTACCCTGAGCAAAGTCGAGCGTCCTCATTACGGTTTTTGCCCCTATCGGCCCCAGATGGGGTCCGAGTGGATGAGGTCGGAGAATCTCGCCGCATCGCATATGCATCGACAATGCGTCGCCGATGCCTCGGCGATGCATCGGCGCCGTCGGCGTGGAGAATCCCTGCCTCCACATGGAGCCGCATCGTCGATGCATCAGCGATGCGTGGACGATCCTCCGACCCCACCTACGCTGGGGAAACCCAGAGGTACCGATACCGATGCTCCCTGGACCTCTCGTGGGGTGCGCTCCGACCGGAATCTCGAGGCGAATCCAGCAGTGGCGACAAGGGTCTCCCAGGAGGCCTTCACGGCGGTATGGGTAACGTCTCCCCTCCTCCGAAGGAGTTGCTGCGGGAGGGGGGGGGCCCCGTGCCACCCAGCTTCGCACACTGCCCCCCGCTCGGGCGCGATTTTCTGAGGAGGGGGAGGAGGAGGAGGAGGAAGAAGACGAGAAGGAGGAGGAAGAGGAGGAGGAAGAGGAGGAGGAAGAGCAGCAGGAGGAGGAGGAGGAAGACGATGAGGACATGTGGAAACGAAGGAAGGGCAGCGGGGTCGCTACCTCTTCCTCGTCCTGAGTTGTTCGCCACGGGGCCCTCGGACGCTCCGACCCTTGCGCTGAGACTGGTGGCGTTTCATCCCCAATTGCTCGTTGACGGCTTGTTCGGGGCCCAGCGAGGCTCCAGAGAGACCCACGGCGGCCAAAAGCGTGGCGCCCTGCTCTTGTTCCAGGACGCGAGCAACCTGCCGCCCTGTTTCTGTTCCACGGAGCGAGCATCTCTGGGCCCAACCTGGGGGGCCTGGAGCTCTGCTTGCCGCCGCCCCCCCCGCAGATGGGCTTGCTTCCCATCACCTCAAGACCACAAGGAGGTGGAGGAGGAGAACGAGGAGGCGAATGACGTAGAGGAGGAGGAGGAGGAGGAGGAGCAGGAGGAGGAGGAGGACGAGAGGAGGACGAAGAGGAGGGAGGAGGAGGAGGAGGAGGAGGAGGAGGGAAGGAGGAGGAGGAGAAAGAAGAGGACGAGGGGGAGGAGGAGAAGGAGGAGGAGGAGGAGAAGGAGCAGGAGGAGGAGGAGGAGGAGGAGAAGGAGGAGGAGGAGGAGGTGGAGGAGGAGGAGGAGGAGTGGCGGTGGAAAGCAAGCCCCCCCCCCTCCCCCCGCGCGGCGGCGGCCACGGCGACGCCAGCGGGGGCGTGCAGCAGCTCGCGGTCCTCGCAGGGCGGAGGCGAAGGGCGGGGCCCCGAGGGGCGCGGGCCCGCGGGGGGTCGGGCGGGAACCTCTCGGAGGACTTCGCACGAACGCTTCCAGGCTATGAGACACAACGCCCGGGTGCTCGCGCCAGCGCGCTCCCAGGCGCTCCTCCGGGCGTTGTGCTGGTCGCCCCCAGCGATCCTTCTGGACGCCAGGAGCGCGCCCAAAATGCAATGTGAAAGCCGAAAAACCCAAAAAAATCAGAAGCAAATCTGCTCTGCCCCCGCGGCGAGGTTAGACTTCGCACGAACGCTTCCAGGCTATGAGACACAACGCACGCAACGGAACCTCTCGGACTTCGACCTCCCACGGGGACCTCTCGGAACGGAACCGCCGTCGCACGGCCGAGCCCCTCGGAGGACTTCGCACGAACAGTTCCACGCACCACGCACGAACGGAACCTCTCGGAGGACTTCGACTTCCCCGCCCCCAGACACCGCATCGCCGACCCTCACCGGCTCGCGGTCCTCGGAGGGCAGACGCGAAGGGCGGGGAGGGAAACTCTCGGAGAAACATCGACCTGGAATCGGAAACGCATCGCCGCTGGATCAGCGACAGGCCCCCGATAGCAGCTCCGGACGTGTCTGGGCGGGGCAGACTGCCGGGCCACATAATGGCGATCAGTGGGCGATCGGGGGGGTGATGCATCCGCCCATGACCCTACCCGTAGGTTGAGCATGTCCCCCTACAGGCGTTTTTTGGAGGAACAATGGGAAAAGAGTCAAACCATATTCAAAAACGCTCAGAAATAGTCAAACAATCGTCCCCTGACTATTTGTTTTAGTATGTTTAAATATCCCTCCTGTAGAAGGACGTGGCCGACTTAAAATCAAGGATATTGGAAAGAGAAAAAAAACGCCATAAACATAAACGTTTGGCAACCGCGCGGATTTCTTGAAGCTGCGCTGGACCCCTCCCTGGCGCGCAGGGCGCCAGGGCGGCACCGGAGGCGCCGCCGGGGGGGCGCAGCGCGGACCTAAGAAATCCGCGCGGAGCGCCAAAAGTGTATGTTTATGGCGAATTCCTTCTCCGAGCTATGGAGGCCAAACAGTCCATAGAGGCCTCTTACACGGGTGCGAACAGTGGTCGGAAGATCACGCCGCATCGCGGGAAGATCGGCAATGGATGGGAGAACAAAAAGCCGACACCAGCACCAAGAAAGTATTTGTTTCACGAAATGTCGAATTGCGTTTTGGACCAGCGCGAGCCCGCCCTGGCCTGAGGAATCGCAGAGTGGGCGAGGAGGACGGGGGAAGGGAGACGTCGCGCAGCACGCAGGAGGGAAAGCAGGAAATAACAAGTGCAAGCGAGAAGCGAAACTAGCGGGCGCTCTCGGGAGAAGAGGGAGAGAAGAGGGAAGGCTGCGGCATCCCCCATGGCTGAAGCTTCACTCCCCCCACCGCCGCCCTCCACCACGCCTACCCCCGCCCGCCCGCCCCCCTCTCATTCCCCCCACCCCTCACCCACCCTACGTCCGCCCGCGTCGCATCCCTGACCCTCGTCTGGCCCGACGCCAAGGCCCGACGAGTTCGAAACCGCCGCTCTCTGCGAAAGGGGGCGGTGGCCGCCCGTCGCGGCCTGGGCATAAGACCGTGGCCCCCTCTTGACCCAAGCCCGCAGCCCGTGGCAACCTTCCGAAATCGTCGAGGGGCTCAGCTCGCACATGGGGCCGCCGTTCCAGTGGGGGTTTTGGTGCTGGTGTCGGCTTTTTGATGTTGCAGGGAACAAAAAGCCGGCACCAGCACCAAGACGCCACTGGAAAAGTTCGGAGCGCTTTCCCTGTGGGGGCTGAGCGACCCAACGAAGCCAAGAAAGCTTGAGATGGCTCGCATTGCTCTCCGACTTTGCAAGCCACGGTGCTTCCATGATAGGGAAACGTCCCATGCAGCTCATGGCGCCCCTGAGGCCCACGGGGCTCCCATGGCCCGCGGGGTTTCCAAGGCTCAGAAACCAGATGTGGCCCTGACGAGTCATGGAGCCAATGGTGCCCGCGCGGCATGCTGGGCCAGCGCGGCGCGTTGGGCTTATGAGCGCTGCGGCGCACGTTCGGCCATGAAGCCCTTTGTGGAACTTGTGGGGTTCATGGGGCTGGCTGGGTTCGCGCGGCCCGCGGGACTCGCGCGGCCCATGGAAATCCTAACGCTCACTTGGGGAACTGGAGACGGCCCGTTATGTTCCCACGCGCTCAGAGCTGGCATTCATCAACTCTGGACACGCGAACCCGAAGACACGGGCGACGGCATTCAACAGAGGCTGCAATGTTTTCTTTTCTAGTGGTTTCTTGGTGTTGGTGTCGGGTTCCTGTGCGCCGAATGGATGCATCGGCGACGTCGACATGGAGTCTGTCGGCTTCACATCGAGCCGCATCGCCGATGCATCGCCGCTGCGGCGCGATCCTCCGACACCATCTACTCCGACCACACCTGGGAAGGCCTAGACAGCAGAGGCAACAAGAAAAGT